TAAGATATGGGAATGTAAGTGACAAAATCTTCTCTTACAAATATGCTTTATGTTGCATTGTTGAAAGAAATGTTGACTTCACTGAAATTTTTGGGAATTGAAGATAAAATCAAAAGGAGAGGGAGAGAAGGATTTGTATTGATTGACGAAATGAATATTATACTCTGTTTTTATAAGAGAAATTATAATTATTTTAATCAAATACTAACAAACTTATTAATTATATTTCTAACTGTATTACACTTGTACCCTTAATAAGAAAAAGATTGATCGACAAAAAAAAATGAAAGAAAAAGACTACTCGATATATGTGTATGGATCAAAGATGAAGATAACGAGAAATGACTTTTAATCCTGCACACAGTGTTCTAACCATGGAGCGATCGATATTCTAATATAAATCATATGATCTATGTGATATGAGAGAAGTATAATTTTTGAATTTGGTTATACAAGTTCCGTAACTAATTGTTTTGTTTAATTGTAGTGGGTATGGTTAGACTCTTGATGAAATGATTACCATGTAAGTGAAAAAGCTGTCATTGAGGCAAAACGTATTTTTGGCACACTAAAAAATGTTTCCATAGGAGATAGCTTGCACTGTGAATTCATGCAAATTTTACGAATTTATGTCTCAAACCGAAGCTCTTTAGTTGACTCGAACACATTATACTTTAAAGCCCTCTTTGTGCCGATTAAATGGACTTTCATTCTAACTAAAATTTGCAAATACATAAATAATATATATATATATATGTATATGTATAAATATATTATCTTTTTAGATGGGGTAGGTGAGGTGAGCAAACGTTTCTTACAATTGTAGCCTATAAAATTTTGCATGCATAATATTCATTTTTATATAATTTAATGAGATGACTTGAGTTACAATCCTTTTGATTTTTTATTAGTTTTCAATCAAACACAAGCTTTAATTAAAAATGAGAACACTCCAAAACCCCAAGGGAAAATTTGCCAAATTAAAAAAATAAAGAAAAAGAAATCAGCCTATGGAAACCTCTTGCTAAATCATGGATTAAAGGGACTTATGTACTATGTTAAATCACTCGAGTTATGTCAAATATATTTTTTAAGGGTAATGTTAGGGAGACTAAATTTTAAACCAAATTTGTAAATCAAATGACGTGTCACTAATACGAAAAAGCACGTTAATGAACGCTTATGTAATAATCTAATCATCAACAACCACATTATTTGATTTAAAAAATTTAATCTCTATAGCATTATTTATTTTTTAAATAAGGAGTCCCAATTGCCAATGGTGAATAGGTAGCAATTTCAATGGTCATATTCGATATCGGAGATATGAGTCCTGCTCTCCTACGATCTTTATTTTGAGGACCTGAAGACCAAATGCATATTAGTCACAAGATTATGTTAGTTTAGAGCCAAATGTTAAAAAAAATTACAACTTAATAAATCAAAACAAGAAAAATGATATTACTAATCGTTCATGAATTTTAAGTTTGTCTTGGTTTATTAAGTTGTTAAATATTATAAGCCTTGAGATATATATACTAATATAATTTTGTGACTAATTAATATGATTTTGGTCCTCACAGATCCTCAAAATGAGAACTTTAGAAGAGCAGGATTGTTGCAGATTTTACTATTAAACTTTTGAGTATGAAAGAGAAGTTAAACGACGCGTGACAGAGATGTTTTGCAATGATTATCAAATTGCTTCTTCAAGTTTCTAATTCTGTCATGAATTGAGAAGAGGAAGCAACCGCATTCTCGACTTGGCTAAATATTAGCTAAAGAACATACATTAGGCTTATAAGGATATGATTGCATCAAAAGCTGGCTTCCTTTTGATTTCTTAATGAATTTCAATTCCTATGGTTTGAATATGGGAAACTTATATTTAGTTATGGCTGCCCGAATAAGACAGTTCTCTAAATGAACAATGATTTGAACAAACTCGAATGTGAGATCAAAATATAGGAGATCTCATGTTTTAATAGAGGAGATCTCATATATGTGAGATTTGTAAACATATGACGTGGCTCGAGCATCCTACACAAGTTTTCTCTCTTAATTGGCAATGAAGGAGAATTTCCTTTGCGCTAAGGTTGAAAATCATAAGATTTTGCATTATCAAGTTTCAAAATAAAATTATTCACACATCTACTGATGACCTTAGGCCCTTCACATTGGTTAAGGTGAGCGTGATACCTATTATAAGAATAAGATATTTGATTTCTATAAAATTACTGCTAAACTAGTGTGAGTTCAATATATTGGTAGCATCTCGAGTTTGATATATTGAACTTAGGAGTCTAATATTCTGAACTCATGAGTTCAATAAATTTGTATCACTCAAATTTTCTGACCTACTATAAAAATATGATACATCTATGAGCTAAATATATTGGTATCAAATTCACTTTTTTCGGCCTAGAACTTGTTGATCACAAGATGATCACATTACTCATAGGAAATTTATCGAACACGAAGGAAAATGATGTGCCTCCCTAATGTATCTAAAAAAACTGTAAAAACTTTCTGCCTGGATTTGAAATGCATGTGGTCTTTCAACCAATCCCTTTCATTGCCCAAGCAAAAAGGATAAGTTGGTGGACATTGCACACCCCTATTTTTGGTGGCACAAGCTGTAGTTCCCAATAAACAAAAGCACCACTAGGGTGCTCGTTGCTAACTCGAAAAGTATGATCAAATTTGCTAAAGAAATCACGCAAGAGAAGTTCCTCCAACACACTTAACCTTATTGCCAATTTGGCCAAGATCATAGTTCTCAACATGGAGATATTTTTCAAGTGTATCCGTAATACGAGGTACGTATCATTAAACAAATGATGAGATACTTGTATTACAAAATTACTAATTTAAAAATAAAACTTTCTTTCAGTTATATAATGACACATGATATTTACATGTGTTCCAGCGCAAAAAAGAAAAATTATTCTCAACATGATAGAAGCAAGAACATCACTATCATTTGATGGGGTTGTGTGCCAAATTGTCTCTCTTTTTGTTTAATGGGACCCTTTCTAATCGATGTCATGATCTTATATCACCGGTTTTGGTAGCCATATTCCCAAGAATCTAAACCCAAACGAAACCAAGAGTGGAGGACTGATTAGTGATTATATGGAAAGGATGAAGAATTATGAACTTTATGGTTAGCAACTTCTTGAGTTCTATATGTGGAAGAAAAAACTTCAGTCGAGCTGCTCTGTCACGATACCTCAAAGACACGCACAAGGAGATCCACCAATGACGAAGGGTTTATTTTTCCTTATTTGTGTCTTGGATGGACGGACGTGGCAGGGTACCCCAACAGAAAATTTTCTTCTATGCCTTTTGGCCTCCACCAAAGAAAGGAAAGAAAAGAAAAAGTGGACGAATAAAAAGAGAGAAAATAACATGGATGACTCGCCATCATGAAGTTGACCCCCACAATATGAATGAAAGAAAGAAAGATGGATGCTTTGCTTCGCTGAGGTTCACAAGAAATCTGTGCAACCAGATTTTATCGCTAGCAACATTATACATTTCAATAGGTATACATACATATATACATACACACAGACCAATCATCTGCACGTCCCTCTTCTGGTTAAACATTCTGCAGCTCATTTTTAACTTCAAAAGTTCCTTGGTGTGCAAGAAACGGCAAGCAACATCGGGATAGAAGCATAAAGAGGAACTAGTAAGGGCTCGTGTTTAGAACTTGTTTCATGAATTTTTCAAGGGTAAATTACACAGTAGCCCCTCAGGTTTTGAGGTTTATTACAACCTCATACAACATCTTCAAAACATTTCACTTTTATACCTTAAGTACTATTTTATTTCAAAATAATACATCCGTTACATTTTTCATCTATTGATCCGTTAAATGCTGACGTGGTTGCCACATGTATGCTACGTGGCTGCCAAATGTCTGCCACATGGTAAATAATTTTTTTTTTTAAACCTGAATTTTCTTTAAAAAAAATAAAAAATAAACCCACTATCCCTAACCCCCCCCCAAGCAACCCATAATCCAAAAACCTGCAGCAGTAGCAAGAAGAAGAAGAGGAGGGAGGAAGAAGGAAAAACAAAAAAAAAAAAAATCCCAAAACACAGTTCCTCCCCCCAGCGACCCAAATCCCTATCCTTAACCCAAAATCCAAAAACCTACAGCAGCAGCAAGAAGAAGAGGAGGAGGGAGGAAGAAGGGGGAAAAAAAAATCCCCTCACCCTCCTTCACCTCCCCCCCTCCCCCTGCGACCTCACCTCGCTCCCCCCCACCCCCCGCGTGACCTCAGCCTCCTTCCCCACCCCCCCCCCGGGGCGACCTCACCTCGCTCCCCCTCCCGCACGACCTCACCTCGCTTCCCCCCCCCCCAAAAAAAATCTTATCCCCTCATCCTCATCTCTCCTCTCTTCTCCCCGCAATCCCCAAACCCATCTCCCCCATCTTCTTCTTCTTCCCTGCAAACCCGGGAAAAAAAAAAAAAAAACCCTCCAGATCCCGTCTCGCCATCGCCGAATTTAAGGAGTGGGGGTGTGTAGAGAAGGGAAGAGGGTGGGTGCGAAGGTTGGTGCGGAGGGAGGGAGGGAGGGCCACGGGTTGGGGGGTGCACAAGGAGGGTCGCAGGCGGGTGGGGGTTCTTTCTGGGTTTCTGATTTTGGGGGGTTATGTGTTTCTGGGTTTTGGTTGACGGGGTGCTTTATTTCAGTTTTTTTTTAATTATTATTTATATTTAGAAGATTTAGGTTTTTAAAAAAAATTTAAAAAATTAATTTTTTTTGCCACATGACAGATATTTAGCAGCCACATGGCATATATGTGGCAGCCACGTCAGCATTTAACAGATCAATGGATGGAAAATGTAACGGATGTATTATTTTGAAATAAAATAGTACTTAAGGTATGAAAGTGAAATTTTTTGAAGATGTTGTATGGGATTGAAATAGACTCCAAACCTGAGGTATGAAAATGTAATTTACCCATTTTTCAAATAAGAAGATGAAATGAGAGGCTTTTCCGTCAAGTTGCATTAACAAGATAATTTTATTTAATTACATGAATTGCATACAAAAATGGTCCATTAAACACTAATTAAGATCCCCATGAAATAAAAAAAGATTACAAATGGGGCAAAATCCACCATCTTTTGCATTTGAAACCTAGCTCCCACCACCACATCTGGATCGGGGTGCGACATTTTGCTACTTATTTTCACTTCTATGCCATACTTTAAACAAGAAGATAATAACCCGGGAATTCGAATTTTGCAGAAGAAACTCAGTAAGACCAGGACCAAAAGGCATGATCTTCCATCGGGAATCCGAAATTACAGGAATTTGCAGGCGTATCGGAGTAATCAACATCTTCAAGCTTTGGGAAGATGTATGGAGGCAGCAGGCTTTTGCTGAAGTTATCTTCTTCATCTTGGGAAAGGTCAGACTGCTCAGGTTCGAAAACATATGAAGAATCACCAGGCTCTAAGAGTGAAGAGTGAACTCCATCCGGGTAATGTGGGCTGTCTGAATCAAATATGTCACTCCTGCCTGAACTATGATCTTCCTGCTTAGAGGCCACAGCTGAGACTTTTGATACTTCGCCTTCGGAGGCCGAGTCAGCAATTGGCTTCTGCGGCAGTTCTTGAGATAATTTGTTGGTATCAGATAGTTCTGAATTTTCCCTCTCCTTCTCTTTGAGTTGCAGCTTGTCTGAGAGGATAAGAACCTGATGACCAATTCAAACATATCATGTCAAATTCGAGAGCAAAATACTACAAATGGAAAAACTAAGGCAGCGAATGACATATATTAATCGCTACCTCGGCCTTCAGTTTATCATTCTCTTTCGAAAGGCTTTCACAGTTAGCCTTGAGATTATTGTAGTTGGCTTGCAGCACCTCATAATCCTTCTCAAGGTGTTTTGTCTTCCACCTCGCCCGGCGGTTCTGGAACCATATCGCAACCTGCCGAGGCTGCAAGCCAAGGTCCTTTGCAAGCAGGACTTTCCTCTCTGGTTCCAGCTTGTTTTCCACATCAAAGCTTTTTTTTCGAGAAACTGGACTTGATCAGCGGTTAGCCGCCTCTTCTTCCCAGGTTGATGGAGATACTCACCCAAGTCATCTTCCCCGTTATCTTCGTGCTCATACTGGTGGAACAATGACCTATTCAATCCACTTCCTCCGCGTACATCTTCGAAACTCACCATCGATCTTGAACCTGAACAAGATATTATCTGTTAATTAGAATACCATCTTCCAAAATTCTACCACACACATGAACAACATCTTGCCACACAATTTTCCAATACAAATCATATGGATTATCTAAAATTGACGAGCATTCTCGGCACCGATCACGAAGAGTGTGCTTGTTTTGGCTGCTAATTATTCTACGATTCCGAATTCCGAGATCATTAACATAATTATAAACAGAAAGATGAACAGGGGCCTATACTATGTGCAAATTTCAATCTTTGCTTAATTCAAACACAAGTTAAGCAGCAACCTGCATATATCTAACATATTCATATATGCCAAAAGATCAAATATTTAGGGAAAAATCAGAAAACCCAGATCAGAAACACTAAAAAATTAGTGATAAATCAACCCAAATAATAAAAATCACAGAGACAGAGTACACAAAGAGAGAGTGAAATAGTACCCAGAAAAGAAGCAGAGTACACAAAGAGTGAGTGAAATAGTACCCAGAAAAGAAGCAGAGGAAGAATTTGATGACCCAGAAAGGAACAGAGAATCAAGAGGCTCAGAACTCCTCTGGTTCTGAAGCAAAGCACTGAGGACGGACGAATTTCGGCCGCCGTTGACCCTCCCGCCGGCCATGTTCACAGTCAACACTCCGACGAATTAGTTTTGTATACTAGGCGTTTGTTAAGTTGCTGTCGAGAACATCACAGCTTGGTGTTTGAGAAGTAGAGTGATCCGAAGCTCTGGGTTGGAAAGAATCACGCTTTGTGGCGGAAGAAGCTGGTGATGATGATTTCTCTGTGATGTGGGAAGTGTGGGAACAGCGGCTGCACACACCCATCACTCAGAAGAAGGAGAACTTATGGGACTTTGAATTTGAAGGTGGTGGTGAAACAGTGGAGAAGAAGAAGAGCTATGCAAATTTGGGAAGTTTTAGAGAGAGAGAGGAGAGAGAGGGAGGGAGGGAGGGAGAGAGAGAGAGGGAGAGTTTCCTTCTCTCTTTCTCAGAAGCGTAACCTGATGGTGATAAATATAGTAAAAAGCCATTAGGGGTCCCTGTTCCAGGAGAGGACAAAGATGGGGTAGATTACTATCCTACCCTTCCGATATAAAGCATCAATTCTATAACCAGAGTTTTTAGTTGCAGGATCGCACCATATTGAACTTCAACGATCCGAATTGTTTATTTTTTTTAAATTACATTTTATAGATTATCTTTACAAATATAGTCAAATAAAAAATATTTGAAGTATCTAATTAAAGTTCAAAGAAATTTACGAACAATATGTTCTAAAAACATTAAAATTTCATAGTGACAATTAAATAGGCAAATGATTTTGGATTGAATTGAATTTTTCAAGAATGATCTATGAGTCGGGACTTATAAAAATAGACGGTTTAGATAGTTAAAATTCGATATACAGTGAGTCCCACAATTAGTCCCTATTTTTTTTTTTTGAAAAAAATGAATATTCCTTTCCTTAAAGAGCCTGATTGTATACATATTTCACAAGTTTTACACACATATACTCTTGAAATTAACCCACCCTATTAGATATGATTTTTGAATTAAAAAATCA